AGACTGTCATAATTTTGTGAAAACCTCTAACAATGTGTAAACTGCAATGTTACAATTTTGTTTGTACATGTAGGATGCATTAAGTGTAGCTAAGGCTGGCCATACACTATACACATTTCTTACAATTTTCTGTTCAATCTCTGTCCAATTTCCTTTAGATTTACCTTCAACTATGTAGTGCAAGGGCTTGCCTAATTGGATACAATTGAAAGTGCTGTTTAGGTTTGACCTCATATTATATGATTTTTAGTAAATCTAAAGCAAAATTCTCAAGAAAATTGTATAGTGTATGGCAAGCCTAAATGCACAAACAAAATCTAAAAGTAGAATCTAAGGATACGCTATTGATTATTGTGGTGTTTCAGTGTTACCATTGTATCAATTTATAGACTTCTGCTCTTGTGGTGTATTTTATACATGACAGACATTTATTGTATACTGCTTCACAAAAGAATGTGACACAAACTTTTCTGACCACAATAAGATTGTTACTCTGGCTTTGTCACTTGGAAACCTTTTGTCTCCAGGATTATTCCGTAAAAGCAATTAATCTTGTTTAAGGGAATGCTTCTAAATAGTGGCAGTTCTCCTAATGCAATTATTCTTTTGTAATAAATGATACCCTTTAGTAATCTGGTATTTTGATTTACTTGTAACCTTTTAAGTTCAGACTCATGACATTTCAAGGATTTATGGGTTTATCAGTTTTGTCTGACTCTCTAGTCAGGCATAGATTTGTATTGACTTTTGATACCAGAACAATAAAAATATATAGTGGTCTATTCACAAGAAGGTTCTGTGATATACAGAACATGCATAAGGGCAGCAGGTTTCTCTTGTCTATGGTGGACACAAACTGTATGCAAACATAAAAAGGATCTTCACCCTAGTAAGAATTAGTAGCTACAAATACTGAAGCTGTAGACTTTTAATAAAAGGATGCTTACCATTGCTGGTCTTTGGGTCCCTGGTGTCGGCATGTTTAATGTGTGACTCCTTTCGGCTTCATAGCTGGCTTCCCACTGCACAGGTGTGGGCCATGCTGTGCTTTGTGAGTGGGCCTGCATGCTTTTGGAACCTGTGATGTGTCCCAGAAGGCTGTGGGCAAAGAGGGAGGGTGAACATCCCCTTGGATCACCAAGGTGAGCATCCTTTTATATCCTGAATAGAAAACTCTTAAAGCTAGTTTTGATAGGTACCCGGTTTCCCCCAAAAATGATGTGCCAAATGTGGTAGAGGGGAGGAGGACATAAAGGGGAACCTTCAGCTTTAAGTTGTGTGTTCTATTCAGGATATAAAAGGATGCTGAATGGTTTCTATTGTTATTGGATACTGTATATACATAAAGATGGAAATTGTGAAAATAAGTGGTAATAAAGACTGTGCAGAAGACTAGAATGTCTACTAAAATTCTTACGAGAGAGTAGTAATTTGTATGGGGCGAATAATAATGACTTTTTGACCGTTTGTTAATTCTTGTGTATTTACTTCACTGTCTTTTTGTCCCGATTCACCCAGTCTTATTTTTTGCCTTGGTGACCTATGGACAGAAAGCGTGTGGGTGGGGTTCGCCACAGTAGGGTCAAACAACACTATAGGCACAACAAAAGTAATGTTTTCATGCTGTATGCACAATTAAAAAAGATTTTGCTGGAATTTAGCTTTCACTCATGACCAGGGGCGGACTGACAACTCATGGGGCCCCCTGGCAATAGGGGATCATAGGGCCCCTGTGTCCTCGCCCACACTCAAACCACATCCAAAAAAGCCTATGAAAGGTACCAGGGGCATCTTATAGGGCCCCCTACTGACCCCGGGCCCTCGAGCAGCACCCGAGTGCCCGGATGGTCAGTCCGTCCCTGCTCATGACCACAGTGATACCAATGATAGCTCATATGTCTAACAAGAGAATGCTGCTCCAAGTAGGTCCACTCATAGAACACACCCCACACATCTTCCAATTGGGTACCGACCCAGCTTGCAGACTGCACTGGGAACAACAGAAGACATCCAGACAGCCACACTCTAATATGATTCACTTTAGTGTATACACATTGACATATACAATGCATGTTAATTAATAACAGTTGTATAAAAGTTTCAACTTGCAATCTAGTCCCAGTAGATTATTATGAAGTGCAAATAGCGCAAAGCGTGTTAACCTTTTTATACCCCACTGTGTCCGTGACAGCTTGATGTATATGTCAAGGTTTATACAATAAAGTGGATCATATTGGAGTGCAGCCATCCGGATGTCTTCTGTTGTTCCCAGCTCATATCTCTACTTCTCATAAATCCTTTGTCCGTGGGAGCACAGCTCTTTAAACTGACTGCTGGCTGATATAGCTTCTTTGAGACCTCTAGATGATGGCACCTAGCTGCTCTCTGCTCCTATACGATGGCAAAAATTAAGGTAATACTTTTTTAAAAAATAAAGTTTAACAAAATGAGTATAAATCCCTTAAATTAAAAAAAAACTTCCCATCCACCACAAACACAAATGTATGAAAACAACTATTGTACTATACATATTAGGCATCTACATAGATGCCAGAGCAAAACCAATAATTCCTGATGAGCAATCCAAAATTCACTCATTGGGTGGCCCTGTTGGCCTCCACCCACCTGACATTACTTGATTGAAAAATTGAAGATGTGGGCAGAAAATTGTTGGCTGAACAGCACCTGCATCCTATCAAGTGCAGGCACCATTTGGGTATTTTGACAGCTGGCGTGGGCCGGCTGTCGAAATACAATAGCCACAGTAGGAGATTTGTCCATCTATGCTCTGTAGAATGGAGGAATCTGTTAGATTTTTCAGTTTGTAGGCTGAAAACAACAACAAAAAAAAAAGTATTTGATGGTACTTCACACCAACACACATTGCTAAATATGTTCCTAATTAAGTCTTCTTGCTTTCAGGGCTGTGAGGTTGATGGAGAAATGTTTTCACATATAGTGGTCCTGTCCAGTGACGGGTCACCTGTGGATCAGAGTCAACGTCTGGAGAAACCCTTGGGAAGAACTTCTCCACAGACCAATAGGAAATGTGCCGCAGTGGTCTTGCACCTTGAACACTTTCATTTTTATGGCAATGAAGCAAACCATAGCTCATGCATGGAAATCCCCTACCCTTTGTTTTGAAGAGGTTAAATCTAGAATACGAGACTTTTTTAATAATGAAAAACTTGCCACGATCCTGAAGGATAGATTTGATAAATTCCTACCTATATGGCAAAAGTAGCTTGATCACCAACCGGTCTCTTGATTCACTACACAGTTGCTCCAGTTATAGTCTGAGAGCTTATGGTATATCCCCTTCACCTCCTCCTAGCTTTCAGGACCAGGCTGATGTCCCCCATGGCAAAGTTCTTTTCCCTACCCTCCTAACAGTTCTCCTCCCTGGCTCTTCTTCGCCTGCTCCTAGGTGTCTCTTCAACACCCTTTCCCTCTCACTTAAGGGGCGGTACACCCCACACACACACACACACACCAGAAAATCGCAAAATACATTGGCAAGTTAAAGCCATACAACATAAAGCATAGTAATTAGGACACAACCAGAATCGCAGAGTTCCTTGCAGATATTTTAATTCCTAGCATGTCTTGTGACCCCCAGCAGTGTAAACTATAGTTCTCCTAATAAAAGAAGCTGCAGCACGTCACAAAGTACTAACAAACCTGGATATGGACTAGGTCACTTGGGAGCTCTTACAAATACAGATCTGCCCTCAGGCTAAAGTGATCTGAATACAGTCCTTAGCATTAATCTTCTGCTAGCTACATTGGGGCCCTTGAAGATGTTGGGGTGTGTGTGTGTGTGTGTGAGAGTGTGAATGAGGTATGGCTATGGTGTGAGTGGTTGTAATCCCTCACCCAATAGGTCAGGCTGAAAGGTATACGGAATCTTTAAGATACAATTTCAGCAGTTGACTGAAAAGAACAGGGGGGATTGACCAAATGGACCTAGTTCATTAGAACGCTAGAACAGCTGTATATAGCAGTTTGAGAAACACAAGCTTCTTGTAAGTGAACAATTTAAACAATGTAAAAATTCCAGCTTAACTGTGGTTCTGTGACTTTCTCCCTGCTCTCTGTTGAGATTTCTTTCAGCGACTAGCCAAGAAGTTCAATGGGGCCCCCCTTTGACGTACTTTTTCTCTCTGGCAGGAAAGGTGGTGGGCACAATAGCAGCAGGGCGCCTCCCTTGCTACTGTAGCAGGCCCGGTCATCAGCAACTTGGATTGCTGGATGGCGATTCAAACTAGCCCCAGAGCAGCCAACAGTGCAGGCCTCATCTAGCTCAGTCCAGCAGTCTGTGTCAGCATACAGCAGCACTCAGCACGGAATCAATCAGCTGGCTCCTCCTTCCCCGCCAAATCACAAACAGCATCTCTCACAAGTCACCATAAACTTTTATGAGGCAAAAGGCATATCTGATATTAGCAAAAAAACCTAGGCACTGTGTTTCTATTCCCTTTTTCATTCTTTATAAAATTAAAAAAAAACTTTGATGGAGTTCTGCTTTTGAGCCCTTCCTGTGTCAATGGGGCATCAGGAAACTGTTTTTATTGTATTGGTAGAGTAGGAAATTTAGTCAGATGCTAGTTAACCAATACGTTTATCATAGGAAACTAGAACTCCCAGTCAAAATATTTTCAGACACATGAAGAACATGCAAATTTCAATGTAGTTATACATTCTGATTGCTGATCATTCGTTGTATATTCTGTAGTTATTTGCACTATGTACAAGTGCAGCAATATATTTTCAACAAGATGTTAAATATTGGTCTTTCTAAGCAATTGTTTAATAATGTTTGCAGTAGATGCTAAATAGAAGTAAATTGAACAAGTTGCCATCAAATGACGTAAAGTATTCTAACAAGCTAGAGAGATATGAAGCCCGCCCTGACCTTTTTTTTTCCTAGATGTGTTTTAAAGAGGTTTCATTTATTTTTTGTTAATGCATATCTTTTTTGTTTGCACTTGCAGATCATCATGACAGATACCATTTTTGGCAATGGAACTGATCAATGGGTGTGCCCTAATGACAGACAGCTAGCTCTTCGAGCAAAGTAAGTCTACAGAAAGCAAAAATGTTCCCTCCTATGGATGTCACACACTAGTTTTTTCAGTGTCCTTCCTATATGTATCCTGGGCACAAGGAAATTGGTGTCTAGGCTGTGTTGTTGGTTCTAGTTTAGTGGTCTGTAAGGGATGTCTTTATTTTTGATACATTAATTCACATACATTTACTGGGCATAAAAACCACAGCACTTTAGCCTCATTTGTCATGTTAACAGTATAACCGTATATGCTCACATATAATAGGTAATGATGTGCTACTCCAAATTATCAAAGCTCCAGAATGCAGATAAATTACCTTGAGTTGGTAGAACAAAATAACAGCTTCATGCAAAAAAAATATTAGGGATGCACCGAAATTTCGTGTGACCAAAACGTTTCTGCCAAAAATACCCATTTTCGGCCGTTGGCCGAAATGAAAAAAAGAACCGATACAGGTGCCAAATAAACCCTCCCCTAACCGTTGCCTGCCACTGCTGCCACTGGCCGCCGCTCGGTAGTTCTCAGCCTGAGAAACCATTGAATGATCCCGGTGCTGGGCATAGAGATGAGTGAAGGAAAGATGGCCTCCACTCATCTCTATGCCCTTGGAGGACCGGAGCGATGTCACTTCGAGCTCCGGCCATTTTTTATTTTTTTTTTAAGCACTAGATCACTGCTTTTTCTTTATCAATGCTTACATTGCAGAGGAGAGATGTGGGGTCCTATTGACCTCATATCTCTCCATAAAGAGGACCTGTCAATAATTATTTCTATCACATGGGATGCATGCATTTATTGTGATTAAGAATAAAAGTGATTTAAAATTTTTTTTTAAAGGGACAGTGCAAAAAAAAAAACAATAATAAAAAAAAGTCCCCCTGTGCTCGCACGTAGTGAGGAATGCATACGTAGGCTATGCCCACATATGTAAATGGTGTTCAAACCACACACTTGAGGTATCACCATTAACATCAGAGCAAGAGCAATAATTCTCGCACCAGACCTCCTCTGTAACTTTACCATGCTAACCTGTAGAAATGTTTAAAACCTCACTCATGGAAATTTTTAAGTACCACAGTTTCACACCATTCCAGGAGCGCGCACAATTATAAAGTGTGACATGTTAGGTATCTACTTACTCGCCGTAACATCCTCTTTCATATTTTACAAAAAAATTGGGGTGTATATTATTTTTTTTTTTTTTTTTTTTGTTTAATCTAAGTGTATCTTTTTCCAAAAAATATATTATTTTTAAAAACTGCGCTTTTTGGCCAAGTGCATTTTGAATTTTTTGGTTTCGGCACCAGAAGTTTTATTTCAGTGCACCACTAAAAATATAATACACCCTTATTCAATTTTTATTTTTTTTTAAGTTACCTGAAAGCTGCCACACTCTTGAGCTGAAAGTTGAATTTAGACTTACAGCAGAATTCCCCGTTCTATAAGCTGTTGGCTGCAGGAGAAGAGATGAACGTTGACAGGGAGAGTTGAGGGTAGGCATGAGAAGTAAGGTGATGGTCATTCGTTATTCAAAGAGAATATAAAGAGCGGCAGAATTGAAGTCTCCTTTCCCTTCTTGTGTTTACAGCCATAGTATAGAGAGGGGGGATATGGTACAGCAGGGGTAAGTGTCTTGCAAGAGTATATGCATTACTTGGCATGTATACAGTATGTATTTCAATTGATTGTTTTGCTGTTTGGCCAGGGATCAAAAGATTTTCTGTTACATAGTACAATGTTCAGTGATTATTGCCTGGACAACATCCAGATTGTGTGAATGAACAATATTATTGTTAATCTATTTACTGAGAAATTACTGTAAATTATATGACTTGTTTCCTTCATAAAGCACTCACACATTTAGGTTTCACATTGCATCTATGTTGAGAACAGCAGATATACTTTCTGTTGTTTGCAATGAGTTATGTGCAGTCGTATTCTTGATTTCTGCTATTGGCAGTGTCATGCAACAGGTAGAAATCCGCATGAGAGATCACATGATCCATTTCATTCAAGGTCGCAACTACAAGCATTGTAACATATCTTGGGACCAGGAAGAATAAAAATGTGTGCCTCAAGTGGCTGTAGGAATACACAAAGGTGTTAGTGTAAGATATAAAGGAAACCCCATTTAAAGCCTGATTAAGCTTTTACCACTTACCCTCCAGAGGATTTACACCCCTTACTGACCAGGCCATTTTTTGCAATACGGCACTGCGTTACTTTAACTGACATTTCCGCATTCAACGCTGTACATAAATTAAATTTATGTTCTTTTTCCCACAAATAGAGATTTCTTTTTGGTGGTATTTGATCATTTCTGCATTTTTTTATTTTTTTGCGATATAAACATGAAAAGACAGACAATTTTGAGAAACAATATTTCTGACTTTTTGCTATAAAACATATCCAGTAAAAAATTTAAAAATCAAATTTCTTCATAAATTTAGGCCAAAATGTATTCTGCTACATGTCTGCTAAAAAAAAAATCCCAATAAGTGTATAATAATTGGTTTATGTGAAAGTTATAGCACCTACAAATGGTATATATACTGGAATTTTTGTTTTTATTTTTTTTATATTAGTAATGGCAGCAATCAGCGACTTATAGCGGGACTGCGGCGGGCATTCTGACACTGGGTGGGAACTGACTAACTGCCACTGACATCCCCAGTAACACTAATACAGTGATCAGTGCTAATAAACAGCACTGGAACTGTACAAATGACACTGGGCAGGAAGGGGTTAACATCTGGGATGATCAAAGGGTTAACTGTGTGCTTGGAGTTTTTTACTATGGAGACATGCTGCTTTGCTGTGCAGAGAAATACAAAGCAGCATGTACTTGCTGACAGGAGTGAGACCTGTGTTGTTTACACACAGGTCTTTTCCCTTGTCTGCTCTGCGGACAATCACTGAGCCCTGGCCAAGTATTGCCAGCTGGGACCCGGTGATTGATATGTCCAGCAGCCAATAGCGGCGTGTGCGCCTCCTACCCGGAAATGCAAAGGCATATATATTTACATGACTTGCACAGCCCTACTGCCCTGCACAGCCCTACTGCCCTGTAGCAGTACTTCTGCTATCGGGCGGCTGGAAAGTGGTTAAATACACTCGAGGAGCACCCTTACAGTCTGTTTTCTTTAGAAAATAACATCTTAAGTAGAAAGCATGTGTCCTGCAGCATGCTACAGAGTAGGGGCCATGCTCTCTGTGGGAAGCAGGAATCTCTTGCTGACCTGCCTCCAGCAGGAAAGTCCAGTACCCGCAAAAAATTTACTATTTTACTTAAACTAGAGACTGTTTAGTTAAGAGCGAAGAGTTAATAAAATCATTCTGAGAGAAATAGATGCATCCTTGGAGCTCAGGATACATGTTAGAAACTGAGAGAGAAGGTACCAGCCATTGGAGCACATGTTGTGGACTAAACCTACATCCCCTACAGGCAGCACTGCTGGTGAGCATGGACTTGTTGCCATCTACTGCAAGTCGTTTCATTGTGTTTGAATGTTTCTTAAATTGATTGTATGTACTTCTTATCTGTTTTGCTTCAAGATTACATTCTGTCTGGCTTACTGCAGAATAGGAGGGTTTAGCTGCATGTCGAGTTTCATACAGGAAAATGTGTAGCAAGGACAAAACATTTATTTTATTTATTTCAGGTACTTATATAGTGCTGTCAATTTACACAGCGCTTTACATATATATATTGTAAATTCACATCAGTCCCTAACCCTCAAGGGTGTGTACAATCTACGGTCCATAACTCACAAAACACTTGCTGAGTCAGAGCTAGAGCTTACCATTCATAGTGAGCATGAGTTTAGCTGATTGTAGAGCTCGAGGTCTGACTTCCTAAAGGCTAAGGTGGATGATGGACCTCGGGGGACAGGCTTTTTTACTTCAACTGTGGCTGCTTTTGAAGGAAAAGGAACTGTAAGACATCGAAGACCCTTTTGGTTTGGTGTACCTAGAATGTATTTAGCTGCCTTAAATTGAAGGTTCAGCTGGGCTTTAAATTTTTCCTGTGACTTCAGTAGTGCAGTTTTGGTTATACTGACCTTCTGAGTAAGGGTTCAGTGAAGATTTGAAAAAATATACTATACATGCACAAGGACATCAATTTTCAATTTAAGTGCAAGATCTGTCACTGTGCTCTGTTCTGGTAAAACTTAAGTCAAAACCGCGTCTCAATATCTATTGCACCATTCTACTCTCCCAAGGAGGTTATACTTCCAATCCCTTGCTATGCACATGGTAAATGAGGCTAGAATGTGTATACCAACCCACTGGCACTCACAGATTATCCCAACAATTAGAGAATGGTTCTTGCAAGTTAACAAAATTTAGGAAATTGGCTGGTGCACACTCTCTTCTTTCCTTTTCCTTTTCTCCTGCCCCACCCCCACCCCCAATTACATGTGTGCATTTTTTTTTTCTTCTCGTTTTTCGTTCTCTGAAGCTCCTTTGAATTTGTAGGTCCAGCGAATTGAGCTAATACAGTGGGGATCGAAAGTTTGGGCACCCCAGCTAAAAATTTGTATTAATGTGCATAAAGAAGCCAAGGAAAGATGGAAAAATCTCCAAAGGCATCAAATTACAGATTAGACATTCTTATAATATGTCAACAAAAGTTAGATTTTATTTCCATCATTTACACTTTCAAAATAACAGAAAACAAAAAAAGGCGTCTGCAAAAGTTTGGGCACCCTGCAGAGTTCATATCTTGTACTGCCCCCTTTGGCAAGTATCACAGCTTGTAAACACTTTTTGTAGCCAGCAAAGCGTTTTCAGATGTCAATATCCTCTGTTCAGAATGTAATTAAGAAATGGCAGTCATCAGGAACAGTGGAAGTTAAAGCAAGATCTGGAAGACCAAGAAAAATATCAGACAGAACAGCTCGCAGGATTGTGAGAAAAACAATTCAAAACCCACGTTTGACTGCACGATCCCTCCAGAAAGATCTGGCAGACACTGGAGTTGTGGTACACTATTCCACTATAAAGA